GTGGGTGGATTGCCTGAGCTCAGGAGTTTGAGACCAGCCTGGGTAACAAGGTGAAACCCTGTCTTTACTAAAAATACCAAAATTAGCTGGGGGTGATGGCGTGTGCCTGTAATCCCAGCTACTTGGGAGGCTGAGGCAGGAGAATTGCTTGAACCTGGGAGGTGGAGGTTACAGTGAGCCGAGATTGCACACTGCACTCCAGCCTGGGCAACAGGGCAAGACTGTCTCAAAAAACAACAACAAAAAAATTTGTTTAAGAGCTGCTGAGTTTTAATGTAAATGCTTGATGCCTCTATAAACAGACTTGTTTCATTTGGTCAGTGATATCGCCATGGTCTTCACAGTAGGACTGTAAATATCAACAAATATTGACTCAATTATATGTTCATCAGCTGTCTTAAGAAATAGAAACTCAACACTTACTTTTTCATTAAAAATGCATTTTTAAAACCTTATTGCTTCTGAGTTTGTTACAAAATAGAAGTGTTACCAAACAATAAAAAAGGACTTATACATATAATAAATGATAAAGCTTTTGCAGCAAGAACATGTGAACTACTCTCTATGTTGAACTTATCCCCTATTTTCTACGCATATTTCATATACACCTACCCCATCACTTTCCACATTTCCCTCTGATTTCCCAAATGGGCAGCCTGGCAGCTTCATGAATCTTGCAGTATACGGCATGGGCCATAAGACACCTGGCTAGAACACCAAGGCCAAGCCAGCAGAGGCAGGACAGGCAGCAGAGGAGAAAACACACCAGTATGAGAGAAAATGCAAACACCACATTATGGGGTGCTTATGGGTGTCCTGAAAAAAGCACGCCATCTTATACAAGAATGGAAACACTTGAGAACAAAGCACAACTGTTGCCAATAATCTTGTTATAAATCTACACTTAAGTGATGTGTGATAGGCTACAGAATGCCTAACTGGAAGGAAAGAAAATATTTCCTTTTAGCTATAATTTTGCCATTTTAATTAAACCATAAATGTGTTTCTCTTGCTCAAATATGTTTATGTTATAGTTTCCATCTTATACTGAGAATGTATACATATCTGCAGATTTAAAAAAGCCTAATGACTAATTGCTATTTCCTAAGATAACTTGTAACATAATATTCATTTGATTCCAAATTTTCATAATGATTAAAACTTAGGAATAAATACATATGATTTCTTCATGTTGAAAGATTGTCTCAAAAAAAAAAAAAAACAAAAAAACAGAGTCTCACCATGTCACCTAGGCTGAAGTGCAGAGGCACAATCTAGGGTCACTGCAACCTTCACCTCTTGGGTTCAAGCGATTCTTCTGCCTCACCCTCCCGAGTAGGTGGGGCTACAGCCACCAAGCCTGGCTAATTTTTTTTGTTTCTATATTTTTAGTAGAGACAGGGTTTCACCACGTTGGTCAGGCTGGTCTCAAACTCCTGAGCTCAACTGATCCACCTGCCTCAGTCTCCCAAAGCGTTGGGATTACAGGCATAAAGCCACTGCACCCGGCTAAGATCATTTCTTTTTATATTAGTTGAGGGTTATAAAACAAAGTGAATGCTTATTAAAAAGGTAGAAAAAATAAAGTCATTAAAGCACACAGAAGCTGAAGATTGTGATTTTGCAGAAATGTAAGTCATAATGGGAATGAATATTACTAACTTCCTAGATATACCAACATACCAATGCTTACAGATGTCTTACTAATTCATGCTGTGCGTTAGACACTGTACTCTGTGTGTTTATGTAATAAATCCTCATCACAGCTTTATGCAGTGGCATTATAATCTTCACATTATAGATGAGAAAATAAAGAGAGGACCAGTTTTTCTGCTGAAGGCCACACAGTGGAAAAATGATGGTGGAGCTAGGATTTATACTTGGTGTGACTCTTAAAGTCAGTAAGTGTTCTTAATTCCTACAGTAAAAAGGCATGAGATCCCTTAAGGGATTCGTAGATCTCAACATTCTAAATTGTATTTATAATTAGAGCTCTTAAAAACCAAATTAATGAAGAAAATAAATGCTTTTATCTAGCCCGAATGTCTACCTCTAAAGTAGGTGCCATAAAGGGCTAATTATTAGTTAAAATTGGCCCCTGTATTAGCAAGACATATAGTTCCTCCTAGACTGAAACTTAAAGAGGTTGTGATGCTGAAATAACCTGAAACAGATGTTTTATTCTTTCCTTCAGAAAGTTATCCTAAAAACAATTCACAGAAGAATCATCTACAAATGACGTAACATGAAAAAGTTGCTCTCAGTAGTAAAGAAAGGTAAATTTAAGCAAACCTATCAAATGCGTAGAGTTGAAAAAACTGTAATAAAAATTATAACGTGTGACCTGTTTTAAGGTCCATTCTCCTCCCTCTGCCTTCCCCTGCTCCTAGAAGTGCATGCTCAACCGCTCAGGCACTGGATCCCATCCTTTCTTAGGGCCTGGATACAGCAGACAAGCGGTTCTCCTCTCTCCTCCGTCATGCCAAATTCCTCCTTTTCATTTGATTTTTCTTGTTAGTGAGATCAAACATTCTAGATACAAAAAAATTCTAATTTCTATCTTAAAAAAATTCCTTGCTTGATCCCCGATATCCTTTCTTTCAGTTACCGCCTCATTTCTATGCTCTCCTTATTAGCCAAACTGCTCGACAGAATGCTCTCAACTAGTTGTCTTCAAGTTATCTCCTCCCATTCTCTCAAGAGCCCCTCCAGGGAAGCTGCCCTTGACTTCTGCAGTCACCAGGCCTCATCGTACTTCACCAATGAGAAGCAGCTGACACAGCTGATCTATCTATCCTCCCCAGATTCTTACACTCTTACATCACGGGCTATTCCTTTACCAGATGCTCACCTTCCCGAAGTCCAAGCATCTGAGTATTCTAAGGTTCAGTCCCCTTTCCCTTCTCTACTTAAACTCACTCCCTAGGAGATTTCATGAAACTAAATGTTCTCTATACCAGTGATGCTCAACCTCTCCCCTGAACTCCAGATTTGGAGACTGAGGTACTAACTTGATATCTTCACTTAGAGTCTAATAATTGTGTGAAATTTAACAGGTCCTAAATTCTAACTTGATCCACCATCCGTCTTCCCCACCTCAGTAATGACAACTCCATCCTCTAGCTGCTCAAGCCAGAAAGCCTAGAATGTTCTCTCTCATACTCCACATCCAATCCGACAACAAATCCTGTTGGCTCTCTCTGTCAAATATGTATCTGACCTTCTCTCAACGCCTCCTTGAATACCACCTCGGACCAGGCCACTGTCATTTCTTACCTAGATTATAGCTAGAGTTGCAACAGTATCCTAACTAGTCTCTTTGCTTCCATCCTGCCCTCACTAAAGTCTAAGAGGAATCCTTTCAAAAACGAAGATTTATGCAGTTACCTGGTGCCACAGAGAACCTTTAAAACACATACACAAACAGTGGAGCACTTCCGTTTTTTAAATGAAATCTTATAGAAAATGCCCCCTAAAGTGAAAATACATAAAAGTGGAGCTGGGAGTGCAACAGCGGTCCAATGCCCAATTCAGTACTCCCTCCCTCATGCCTACAAGGTGCTTTGGAGAATGTAAAGGGATTGAAAACTCACTGCTCTGGAACAACTTACGACGCAACTTCAGTTTTCTTAAAGGTTTCAAAGAAATAGCATTCTTAAAGAAATTAGGGATTATGAAAGCCTGCAGTCTAGTCATCCGTTAGTTTGCTCTAGAAACTTGTGTCTCCCGCACACAGTCCTATTAAAAACCTTGGCAGAACAGCAAACAACTATGAGATCTCAATCAACAAGACAATTTCTTCTTTGGGGATGCTTTACTATGCTTTTATGCAAGTTATCCTAGTATTTTCTTCTGTTGATACTCATCTTTACTACTTTTCCACTACAACAAAATTTTTAAAATAATATTATGTTCCTCCTGATTATAGGTTTGATATTGGGAACTATCTACTACCTATCACTGTCAACAGAATACAATGTTCTTAACTGGGAATTAAATGCACTCATGATTTAAGGGAGAGATATATACTTGGGGAATAGGGAATAAAACAAGGAACAGTTTTTAAAAATAGTCTAAATACCATGGACCTCAGGAAGATATTATTATTATTATTATTATTTTTTGAGATGGAGTCTTGCTCTGTTGCCCAGGCTGGAATATGGTGGCACGATCTCAGCTCACTGCAAGCTCTGCCTCCTGGGTTCACGTCATTCTCCTGCCTCAGCCTCCCGAGTAGCTGGGACTACAGGCGCCCGCCACCACGCCCAGCTAATTTTTTGTATTTTTAGTACAGACAGGGTTTCACCATGTTAGCCAGGATGGTCTAGATTTCCTGACCTTGTGATTCGCCCGCCTTGGCCTCCCAAAGTGCTGGGATTACAGGTGTGAGCCACTGCACCTGGCTGAAAATACTATTTTGATTGGTCTCAGTAGACTTGATTCCTAGTCACGTGTGTCACTGCTGACTCCCCTTCATGAAACAGGGGTTAATACTTTCCCTCTACCTCACAGGGTGACCAACTGTCCTGGTTTACTCCAGACTTTGCTGATTTTAGCACTGCAAGTCCTGGTTTAGCAAATTGGGATGGATAGTTAGCTTACTCCTATGTATCTCAGGGATACTATCTAATGTGAGGCAATAATATTTCATATAGTTTATTCAAAAGAAATTCAAAGAATTATTACACTGCTTATTTTATGGCTATATTAATTGATCACTGGTTCTGATATGAGAAATGGTTCAGATGCAACAAAGACTTTTTTTCTCTCTTTTTAACACATACATTTTAAGTCATGCTTTACATGCTTATTGTTTCACTTCCCAATTATGAACCCTTTGAAAATAAAACGGTTACACTATTAGAAGTAAACTCAGTATTAGTCCCACAGATATATTACAGGGTAAAACCAACCTTTATACACTGAGTCTTGTTTTGTATGATTCTAAATATATTTACATTGTTCATTTTCTCAATTGTTTTGCATTTTTAGTAGCTTACCTATAACAGAGACTTTAAGTAATTCGATTTTATCCTCAAGGCCTGCAGCTTTCAGATTGTCCCAAGTACCTAGTAACTGTGAGTCGCTGACATCAGCACCTACATAATACACATCCTATGGGGAAAGAAAGAATATTTTAAGCATAAATAAAATTATTACACATTTTATGTAGTTAAGAAAATCAACTTGCATTTTCTCAAATGATGGAAGTGAAATTAGTAGATTTTAAATTAAGGTCAAAACACCTTTAGGTTATTCTTTTAAAATGATAATATCAAAAAATGTAAAGTTTATGTTAAAATTTTAAAAATCTGTGAATATTACAATGACAAATGTGTAAAGAATTTGAGGATTAGTATAATCTAGGTCATGACTAATGATTAGAATTCTGTCATATTTTCCTAAATTCATAGTATTTAAATAAATAACATAGCAATTTAATCCTTCACAATCTATTTTGAGTATAGTGAATAACTCACATAATTAAAAAGAATAATCCCAAAATAGACACTCTACTTGTAAATAATTGGTGATTATACTATATATACTGATTAAAGTAGATAAATTGCTTGCTTTACCAAACTTCAGAACTTACTGGCCATTCTTTAGCAGCTTCCAAAAGTATTGTTCCAAGTCCGCACATTGGATCTAAAACAAATGCACCAGCCTGCAGACAGGAATATTAATTTGGTATTATTAAGACTACTATAGTAGGTATTATAAAAGAAACCTAAACTTGAGGAATCAATATTTCAAGAGGAAAGGTTACTTTTTACACTTTATTAAGAATTTCAGGTACTTAAAGCCCTAATGCAGGAGTGTATTCGGCAGGTTTATAAATTAGGAAGAAGGCCATTCTGGCCAAAGCCCAGGAAAAGGTAGTGAAAGCCCCAGAGAGGGAACAAGGGGATTCTGTGAAGATGGACTGGGTTATGCTGCATGTTGTAACAACCCCCAAATCCTAGGGGTTTAAAACAACTAGCTCACACTGTATGACCACATTAGGGTACCTGGGGCCTCTGCTCCTCACTCTGGAACCCAAACTGACGAGCAATCACCATCTTGAGTGCTGCCATCACTGTGGCAGAGGGAAAGAAAGCATGACAAATTGTCCACTGGCTCAGAAAGGTGCCACCTGAAAGCGATGCACATCACTTCCACCAGTATTAACTGTTAGTCACATGGCACACAGTGTCAAGGGGCCAGGAAAGTATAATCCTATCTGTACCTGGGAGAAAAACAGGAAATTGGGAGAAAAAATGACTTACTCCCACTCTGAAAATCACAGCATGCCAGATCTCATAGGTGGTGTAAGGATTCTGGTTCTATTCTGAAGGATGGGAAACTATTGGAGGGTTTGAGGACAGGAGTCCTATGACATTACATTTCAAAGGGATCATTTTGGCTATTCTGCAGAGGACAGACCATAGAAGGGTAAGAGTGCTAGAGAGTCCAGTCAAGAGATGATGGTGGCTTGAGTTAAGAGTGGAATTGGTGGATGTGGTAAGAAATGGTTGGATTCTAGACATATTTTAAAAGGTGGAGCCAAAAATGCATGGGATGTGGAATGTTAATGAAAGACAACAGTCTGGAATGCCTAAAATTTTTGAGCTGAGCAACTGGAAGAACAGAGTTGCCTGTTACTGACATGGGAAGAGTTGGGGAGAAGACACTTTGGGGGAGACAAGAGTATAGTTCTGGCCTTGTTAATTTTGAGATACCTCTTAGACCTCTAAGTGTGAATGTCAAGTGAGTCACTGGACATGAGTCTACAGTTCAAGGGAGAGGTTCAGGCTACAGATAGGAATTTAGGAACAGTCAGTGCCAGTCAGCTTATAAATGATATTTAAAGCATCAGAACTGGATGTGATCATCTAGAAAGCAAGAGAAGTTTAACAAGAGAAGTCTATGAATTGGCCCCTGGTGATCTCTGAAGTTCACATGTTTGGAAGAGGAAGATCAGCCACACACACTGAGAAGCAGCTCATTCCGATAATAGGAGCAGAACCTAGCATAGTGGTCCTGAAACAAAGTGAAGAAACTGCTTCAAGAAGGAGAGTGATCAGTGTCGAAGTGACAGGCGGGTAAGTGAGACGAGCAGTTTCAGTGGAGTGTTGGTGATGAAAGCCCCATGGAGGCTGCTATATGAGAGAATGGGAAGAAAGGAGGTAGAAGACAGCCAATGTAGATAATTATTTTAAAGACTTTTTCTGTAAAGGGAAGCAGAAAAGGGGGTGGTGGCTGAAGGGATGTATGGCTTCAGCGGGGGGTTTTCATTTTTTTAAGTTGAAAGATATTTCGGCAGGTGTACATGCTGATGGGGATGACCCAGTAGAAGGAAAAATTTCTGAGTCTATAAGAGGGAACGGAATCCGGCACACAAGCATTAGCGTGGAACAAGGACAGTTCCCTTATTGTAACAACAATAAGGCAGAGTATGTAGGCATAGATTCTGGCATGTTGGTAGACTTGGTGAGGAGAACATGTAGAAGTTCTCTTCTGATTCTATTATTTTAGTCAAATAAGAAGGAAGGGAGCTTGAGAATGGCGTGAACCTGGGAGGCGGAGCTTGCAGTGAGCAGAGATTGCACCACTGCAGTCCAGCTTGGGCGATAGAGCAAGACTCCGTCTCAAAAAAAAAAAAAAAAAAAAAAAAAAAAGGGGAAAAAAAGGGATAAAAAGAAGGAACAGTTAAAAGTATGGGCAAGGAAATGACTATTTTTAAAATCCAAGCTGTGAAGGAGGGATGAGCACAGGTGGTAAGAATAGGGGTTGGGTCAAATGACTAGAGGGCCCTGTGGGGTTAAAGATTTGTGTTCGGGTAGCAGAGGAAGTAAATAGGAAAGAGGAGGTGGTTAAGAACAGGATTCCTGAAACTGAGATTTCTGGAAGAGATACCCTTCTGGGTATGACAAGGTCTAGGATGTGACTACAACAGATGAATAGGGAAGCCAAGAAATGAAGAGTAAGATTACTGAATGGTTACAGAGACCAAAGAATCATGATGCAATAATGGCCTGTACTCTTACAGGAATGAGAGGGAGAGAGCTCTGATTGGGGTGATCTGATGGCATGTGCTTCAAAGGCACTGTGAGGTTCTGGGCAGAAGGAAGAAAATAATTGTCTAGAAGGGGCAAGAAGGAGCAAGCAGGAACGTACCCCACTGTCAGGCCCAGTGGTGCTCGAGATAGGGGAGAAAAAACATCCACCACTTGTTATGTCTACAGAGGAAGCAGAGTCCTCAGGGGACAGCCAGGTTTCAGCCACAGCCATATGGTACCTAATGGAAAGAAACAAAATGTTCTTCAGGAGACAGAAGCCTTCCCTGGTACTAAATTTTAAAGAGAGTATCATACAAATCCCCCATGAAGGGGCAGTAAGGAGCAGAAGGAAAAATTTAAATGGAAATTTTGTTGTTAAATTGTTAACAGTATGAGAACCCATTTTTATTAGGATCTCAAATGTGCCATACACTGTGCTCCTTCTCTCCCATGATCTGTGTTCAATGATGTAATCTGACCTAAAGTATTTTTAAACGGCTTTATTTTACCTTAGGACCTTTTCTTGCCATGACACTTGTAGACACAGACTGAGGTAGAGAAGTATTTCTGCATACTTATAACAACATTTAAGATTTATAGAACTTGATTTCCCTTGTTATGATATGTAGGAAGGAGAACAGTTTATAGTACACATGATAAATAACGAACATCCCATTTTTAAATTTCATTTTTAGTGGCACTGGCCTACCCAAGACTGAGCTGTCTGTGTACTGCTCTGGGTACTAAGCTCCAAAGAGGGAAATGGATCAGGTTGGATACTGGGGTCACTCAGACTGTGGGTCACTACCACATTGCCTCCAAAAGAACTCTACCATGCCATTTCCCAGGTTCTTTAACAGACCTCCTTGGCCTGTGGTCACATTGAGAGACACATTTCTTACTTTTTGTAGTCTCAGGGAAAATTCATAGTAAGGAAAAGTTTTATCAAGCACTATCTTTGGATATTTTTGATCATTTACTTTTGACTTTTCTGAAAAACATGTTTATATTAAAACAAAGGTAACATTTCAAATGTGTGGGTGATTATGTAAATTTATACTTAAATACAAACTGGTGAAACCACTGGCAGTTTGGGAAAAAATTAACCATACCTCTTTCTTTATACTAAAAAAATCTGAACTAAAGATTTAAACCAAACAAACAAATAAAATCATGGGTTCTGGGTACCTGGTAATCTGAAAGAGGCTCCCTCCTCCACTCTCAACTCGAAGCTTTCTGCTTCTGCTGAGCCAAGTGATGCTCAGACCTAGAGGCAACTGGTGCTAAGAGAAGCCCAAGGCTCCGTCACAGTCCCAGAAAAAGGAAAGTGTGTGATGGGACCTCCCTGCTGTGGGTTGGGCAGTGATTAGAGAACAGCAGTGGAACCCAGAGGGGAGAATCAGTGGAACTAGGGAAGAGCTTGGTCTTCAGAGATCTATGGACCCAAAGAGAGGTCAGTGACTAGAGAAGTTTCCTCCAGGTATCTCAGCAGGACTGACAGATTCTCCTTACACTGCTGAGCCTGGGGTGCCAGAGATCCATTTGCCTTTTACCATTTATAGGATTCTGGCCGTTTAAAATACTTAACAGTCACATTTTAGCCCCAGCAAGCTAAAACAAAACACACAAACAAACAAAAACCAACGGCACATCTGAAAAAAAAGGAAGAGGTCCCTCAGTAGTTTTAGAGTAAATAAGCAGAATAATCAGAACACACACCTAGTAAAATAGAATTACTAATTACTGATCAATATTTGAATAAAAGAAGAGCTTTCAGAGATATTCAAATGTGACACACATACCTTTATGAAGCTAAAAAGCCATATTTTTAATCTAAAAATATAAATAAAATAGAGCATGTCTCTGTGACTCTTGTTGTAATTTGGAAGATAATGTTCAAGAATAACTCAAAATGCAAATATAAAGACATGGAAATCATGTCAAAAGGGTAGGAGACTTGGAGGATAGAACCAGGAAGCTTAACACGTTCCTAATAGGAATTTCAGAAGTAGGAAAGAGAGACTAGTTTAAAGTTAAATTCGTTAAATAGTCGAGGCAATAATTAAATAATGGAAGAAAAAGTGCTCAGGCCAGAGAAGTAAAAATAATAATTTTTATAATTATTATATATTCCAAATAGTAATTATAGTTCTAGTTATTAACTATAATTTTGGTATTAATAATTATAGTTATATTTATTATTATTACCAAAATGGCAGCTAATACTTAGAAACTTTCTGAATGTTAGACACTGTTCTAATCACTTTATTAATGCTAATTCATTTAATCTTGTCATGATCCCATGAGATATTACTACTCTTTTCATCTTGTAAATGAGAAACTGAGGCACAAAGATGTTAAGTATCCTGCCCAAAGCTTCCCAGCCAGTAAGTGGTGGCCAGAATCTAAGACTCACCACGGTCTGGGCTAAATAGAAAAGACATATACATAAGCATGTTCTGGTGACATTCCTGGGCTTTAAGATTAAAGACAAACACCTTATAAGTTTCCAAAAACAAGGAATCACGTAGTTATAAATGAAAATAAAAGAAAAATCCAACTGGCATGGTCTGCTCATCTGTGCCACCAGAAGCTAAATGACAATGGAATAGCATCTACAGACCTTTGAGAGAAAAGAACTGCAATTCAGGAATCCTATACCCAGCCAAGATAGGTATACGCAGATAACAGGAAGAAATTTGAAGATACAAAGAAATTCTGACAGTATATCATTAAATACCACATTTGAGAAAAATACCTAAGATAAGACTTTACCCAAGCAACAAGTAAACCAGAGCAGAAGCCTCAAACAGGGCAAGACAAATGATTAGCAAGTAACTTGATCAAACTAGCAAAAATAAGAGAAGGAAACAAAGTGTGAGAAGTTAGGAATAGAATAAAAATAGGAAGAATATAATCAAGTCTATCTGTCACAACATTTACTGAATTCTCTCACTGAAAGACCATCAGAGTGGGGTAAAAATAGCTGTGTGTTTGTAAGAAAATATGTAAAGCTGAAAAAAAAAAGCAGTGGCAAAGAAATATTAGGCTGATGCAAACAAAAAGGAGTGAAAATATTAGTAAGACAGTGAGACTTAAATTTAAACTTAACCAAGATAAATACGACTTAAGTAACAAAAGGCACACTTCACAATGATGTATTGACAGTCACGAACATGTATATACCAAGTCACATGGCAGCTGAATAATTCAACAACTCATAAAAATGCAAAAACTTAAAAAAATACAATATAATGAGATTTCAAAAACTTCTTTGAAAATGGGGCAGAGAAACACACGGTAAGTAAAAATAATGGAGAACATTTCTTCACTAGAAGATAAAATCATCTTACGTCCATAGAACATTTACAAAAATTGACCAAGATCTTGGTCATAGAAAAAAACTTAAAATTTAAGAATCAGAGGTTTTACAGGCCACATTTTCTAACTGTGACACAAAACATTAGAAATAATGAAATGTAGCTAACTTCTGACTCAGCCTTTTCACAGCCAAAATACTCTCAGAAGTTCAACAATATATAAAAGCATTACTGCAGCAGTTTGTAAGTATAATGGCAAAAAGAAAAGAAGTTAAATAAAAAGCGTTAAGAAAAGAAAAAGCAAGTAATACAAATATCCATCAGTAAGAGACCGTATAAGTTAATTATGAAAATAACTTTGCTATTAACAGGAAGGAAAACATTTTTCTTACCTTAATGTCAGCGAGAGATGCCATTGCCCACGCTATGGTAGATCGCAGTCCAGCTGTCTTGATGTAAGCTCTGCTGGCTAAAGGAACCCTACAAAGAAAAGAATCTGATTATATATTATTACACATTGAACAACAAGATATAAAAATGATTTACCTGTCCAAATCTGAGAATCATTTAAACATATTCATCCAACATACACTAAAGTATTCCCTAAGTTAGAGAATGTTTCAATCTTATTACAAAAATTCCTTCTCTAATGGGCACCTTGTCTACCCAGCCAGTGTGGAATTTCAGAAAGTTAAATTTTTAGACAACTGAAATTTACACTCTCATGTATTTAATGTATAAAAATGTAATTATACATGAGGAAAATCTTTCTTATACTTCCCTGTCTTCCCAGAGTAGACCTTTTCTTGCTGTCTGAAGTCATGAAGGGGAATATACTATTTTGTGATACAAATGTAGTATGGGAAGTAGAACTGAAGGGATGCTAACCCTTAAAATCTATTTTCTATAAAAAGTCCCTTTTGTAGGTCTGTTTTTTGGTTACTTGCATCTTCCCCAAAAGCTGAAATGAAACATGACATTGCACTGTCTAAAATAATTTACTGGATGATGGGCCAAACCAGACATCTCCCAAATCAGTTCAATGGTCTCCAACAAGCATCGCTTCACACTTTATCCTCCACCTCTTCAATGCCACCATCACATCAATGTTTCCAGATTTGATAGAAATTTTCAAAATGTCATCTATCATTTATATCTTTCCAACGCAATGAACAAGCAGAATCTCCTTGGAAATTTCAACTTTCCAGGCTTTTCTAGTTCACTTCTACAATTTGTTGGTAAGGTATGAAGACGTGATGTCAAGAACATGTGCTGGTTTGTTTTGGGGTAGGCTTGTTCCAAAACTACCAAGAGAGGTCTTCCACGAACTTTACGGAAAGCCACGATGTTCTTCAAACCCTCCTTCAAGTTGTTCAACAGAATTCTAGGTATGTGTGTTAAACATTTATTTCTTTCAGAATTTTGTCTCTCATTTTTCTTTGACTTTAACTTATCCTGTTTTTGTATTTGTTGCAAGCCTCTTAAAATCTGAGAACTAAATGACATATCCCTTTAAAGTAAAAGTGTAATTGTATACTTACTATTATAATGAGGAAGTTCTACATCGCAAACCCGTGGGAGTTTGGCTTTTTAATAAGGTTTTTTCAAGAAATAATTCACATTGTAAACAGTACTGTATACATACATTTGGAATCAGGGATGTAAACTGGCAGGTAGAAACACTATAAAATATTTTGGCCAGTGAATTTTGCTTCTGCAGGGAGAGCTTAGCAATTATCTTGCTATAAAACACAGTTTGCATTCTAGATACCAAAGCTATAATACACCGTTTACATTCTAGATGCCAAAACTATAAAACAGAGTTTGCATTCTAGATACCAAAAAGGGAGATGCGTATGGAAAACCAGTTTTGTCCATATATATGAAAAAAATGCTCTTCTAAGCAGCAGGAATTTATATGGAACCTTTCAAAGTTTCAACAACTATGTATATATTTTTGCTAATAGAAGTTTTTATGGGACATAATTCTGTCAATATTTGACAAAAGTGAATGTTCACATTTTGCTTAAACCTGGGCAAAATTATCTCATTACTTCAACAAAAGGACCCCATTATACCAGCATAATACAATTATTCAGAAGAAGGCATGTTCAGAAATAAACTCCTAGAAAATAAAAATGCTCTACTTTCACAGAATCTAGCTAACGTACACAGTTCAAAAATAAATGTGGTTTTTGATCTTCTTCTCTGCATGTGTGCATTTCTTTTTTATTCTCTTGTACACCTTGTACCACCAAAACAAAGATGTCCTAATCTATATGTCTAGCCTAGACTTGTTACCTGAACCCCCCAGATCTTTATCTTCAAATATGTACTTCAACATTTTTATGTGGAAGATAAGTAGTACAAAGTCAACAGGTATAAACTGAATACACTCTCCTGGATTTCACATATTGATATGTTTCTTCATTTTCTTGTGCCACTTACTACCCATATATTGGGTACCATAATCTAACTCTTCAGTCTAGACTTGTCACCTGAACTCTAGATCTGTAACTTCAAATATCTACTGGGACATTTTCCACTGAATACACTGTTTTCTTTTGCTACATTTTGTATCTCAGTGACTAATACCAGTATTTACTAATTGTTCAAATCAGAAATCTGAAATTATTCTAGACCCCTTAACTACTTTTTGATTTCATGGCCTTTTTGCTACCTCCAAGAGTTTAAATCCTCTCATTCTCTCTTTTTATTTCTCTTTCATTTAAAAATATTTTTTTCTTGGTAATATTTTTGAAATCAGAAATCTGATCACTTCACTCTTCTGCTTCAAATTCTTATTGCTTTTAGGATAAAATCCAAGCTGTTTAACATACTTACAAGGCACTTCATGGCTTACTTCTAATTTTCTACCACTTTCTCTATGTCTCATCTACACTGAAACTACCTGCCATGCCCCATGTAAATCCAGCTTCCTTATACCTTGTGCCTTTGCACAGGTTCCTTGCCGTAATATCCTTTCCTTCTCTTGTCCACATGACATACCCTTTCTTATTGCTGTCAAGTCTCCTCTTAGGGACAATCTTTTATCTTTTTGCTCACAGGTCCTCAATTAGAGTTAGGTTCTCTTTCCTAACTCTAGTCAAGCATTTATCACAGATCTGTGCTACCACTGGATTGAATTCCTTGAAATTAATACTCATCTTTTTTGTCTTTGAACTTTGGGCATCTAGCACAATTTTTTTGCATACAGTAACTGTACAACTGATGCTTCAACTAAAATTAATTGAACTCATCTTACTCCAGTAAATGTCTCTGCCCTCCCCTCCTACTTGCTGAAGTGTTTCAAAAATAAAAAAGTTGAAATTTATTCAATGATTACTGTATCCTAGAAACAGTAGCAAAGATTTTCATGTGGGTTATCTCATTTAATTCCAAGGATGAAGCTGTAAAGTAGGTACTATTATTTTCTTGATTTTATAGCAGAGAAATATGATAATTTGTCTAAACTTGCAGAGTTATAAGAATTTGTGAAGACAGAATTCAAGTCCACAGTTCTTATCTGCTATGCTATACTGTAGTAGGTGATGCGTATAGTGTGGCACCAGCTATAAAACAGTTAATGCTTCATGGGGCTATTGATATCCAAATGGTTTTTTTCTTTAAAGAAAGTAAAGCTCAAAATATGAACAATGTCTTTAGGAACTTGGGACAAATTTTTATGTGATCCTCTAACTTCATGGCTGCTCTCTACTTTGTTTCATCATTTCTGACTTTCTTCTGTTGTTAGGTCACCAGGTTGCAGTTTCTGATATCCACTGTCACTTCTCTTGTCCAGTACTGTGTGTTGTGCAAGTCTTCATGTCTCCCCTTTTCATGTCCCAGCAAATTGTTCTTTTTAGTCAACTCATCACTGAGACTGCTTCCTTCCTACACTGAGATAGTCAAACTGACTGAACACAGAGCATCTATTGTAACCTCATTTTCAACCAGTGCTCACTCAAGGCCTGAGTCTGAATTTTCAGACATTATCTTTTATTTGTAAACTTTAAGGTACATTATCAATTATTATTTGAAATGCCATGGCATGACATCTTGAATGTTTCTAGCAAGCATTAAAATAATTTTAAATAATCAAATACCTTTTAAAAACATTAAGGTTATACTAAAGAGCACAAAATTTAGCATTTTTATATATAATAATTTAAAAATGAGTTATTTTATTTGGTGGTAAGAATCTAATTAATACCACCTCAGCACTGCTAGGGGTAAGATACTCTTCCTAAATTTTTTTGTTTTCTGGAGACGGAGTCTTGCTGTCACCTAGGCTAGAGTACAGTGGCGCAAATTTTGGCTCACGGCCACCTCCGCCTCCCAGGTTCAAGTGATTCTCCTGCCTCAGCCTCCTGAGTAGCTGGGATTACAGGCACCCACCACCACACCCAGCTAATTTTTGTATTTTTAGTAGAGACAGGATTTCACCATGTTGGTCAGGCTGGTCTCGAACTTCTAACCTCGTGATCTGCTTGCCTCAGCCTCCCAAAGAGCTGGGATTACAGGCATGAGCCACTGCGCCTGGTATCTAAGTAAATTTTTTAGATGCTTAGGCTCACTTTTTGGGGGTCAAAATATTATTAAAAATTAACTACTTTATAAATTTAAAAATGCATACATTTTATATTTTGCTTGTTTTGCTAGTGTTTCCTACTTTTGTCTTGGTGACCATCAATAATTATACTTATTATTATAATTGCTGAAATATGTCCATCTTTTAGTTTTCCCCACCCTTTCTGTCTTTAAAATTGTCATAGAATTTTAAAAAGCCAGATAGGCAAAATTGTTCAATTAAAGGCACTGGAGTAGGGCAGCCTAGAAGCATTTTAGGTGTAGTTATAGGGCTGTGAAAATCATTTAATAATAGAACTAGACATAATTTTCAGTATTAATCATGTAATCAGTAGATTACCATGACCAAATATTTCCCAGCTCTAACTGGTCAGTTCAAATTACATCCACTAAGTTCCATGAAAATATTTTATTGTCTTAAGCAAAGAATTCAAATGCTTTGCCTTTAGCCTTCTCTATCAATGCTTCATTCATGCTATAAATAAAAAACATAAATTCTGAATTTAACAATCCGTCCTATGGGACAAACTTGAAGCTTAGAATATCTACCTGAACACAGGAATCCCCACCACAGAGTAAACATCATTTAGATGTATAAAGATCTGAAAGAATAAACACAGAAGTTAGAATGGAATAAGAAACATCATTACCAAAGTACTGACAATTTGAAATTTCCATTTTAAACTTACATGACCTATGTTTTAAAAAGAAACTCCAAGGCCTTATTCATCATATCTAGAAAAAAAAAGTTCCATAATCTTTTTTTTTCTTAAGCAGAAGGAAACTAAATTTTAAGTACATTTCATAGAAAAATGCTGAGGTCAATTTGTTATACAGGAGAGTCATGTTAACAAACAACTCAAAACCAACTTTCTTCCTAGAGATTCTCGGAATTATCATAACTGGACCAGACTTCAGTATTTTGTGTTAGAGAAGATTTTCTAAATCCACCCTAATTCTAGCCTCAAACAGGATGCGAGGCCACACAGGGTTATCAGAGGCTGCAAATACTTTCAGGGTAACAGAAAACTTTGTTTAGGTCAAATGTATGGCAGCAAGGGTCCTCTTTTCTCTATAGGTAAGTTTCTGTCTCTCTTTATTTTCTTTCTTCTGTTAGGTCAAGAAGAGTATTTAGGTGCCCCACATTATAATTAGTAGCCAACACAAATTTTAAAAGCTAGAATCTTTCTTTTGTAGCCTGATAAGGTTTACAGAATATTTTAAATGCTGTTTTGAATCTCAAGAATATCTGGTCCCCGACAAGTTCATTCCAAGATAACTTTAAATATTAGCAGCTTAATCAGAATTATTCCAAAATTGATTACTTTCATCAAGAAAAGACTTACCTGGAGTGATTCCATTTGGTCAATTTAATTACTTAACTGATACATCACAGCTAAACTTCCCAATTTTATACATTATGCATTTTAGCAAAATTATTAGAATTATTTTCTATTGACAATTTATTCTAAAGATATGACATGTTAACATATTGAATGTTATTAAGAATAGCCTCTCCCACTATAAATGTTTTCCTATCAATTTTGCAGATGGAAATTTGTTGAGATTTCATTCTTCTGTCAATTTTTTAGTCATAAATTTTACTACGTGTGATTTTTGTGTTTCCAATTTTGTGTTAATTATTTCTATCCATAATAGCTATTAATTGCATTAAATGGCTGATAGGAATTGAATTTGCTATATTTACTCATGAGATAATCTATGAGAAAAACAATTCTGAGACAACGAGAGACTCAGGGAGATGGGGACGAGAAAGCCACAGAGAAGAGATGACTAAGAATTGGAAAGGGGCAGGTAAGAGAAAGATACTTGTATGTCAAAACATTCTTGGGATCAAAATATTTAGTATGACAAACAATAAAAAATATATACCAGGCATTTTTTTTAAAGTGAAAAATGTCAGACAAAAGCAAATCTAAAAATAAAACAACACACAATGTTCTGATTTGTCCAGTTATTACTCCATTTAAACCTAAATAACAAGTGATAAATAAATTTATGAATTAATCATGAAAATTATTGGTTATATGTCAACTTTATAAGATGGCTTTCAAAAAATAGCAAAGAATATTTTTTGTTTCCCCATACAAATAGTTGTTCCAATTAAAAATAGTGTAACCTTATTAAATTAATTTTGGAAAATAAAAACATAATCCCATATCCATAACAAAGCCACTATTAACACATACTATTGAATTTTGTGCAGGACTTTTGTTGTTATCCATTTTTTAACATTAGCTAAAGTTTTTTAAATCATAAATTGTGTGTATTATAGAGACTATAGAGAACATCGCTGTAACCTCATAATAATAAATGTTTTTTCTTCAACTGTGACCAGATAACTTCATTCCAAAAAATCTTTTCTTGGAGTTTGGATAAGATATTTTCACAGTGAAAACTGCTGGCAAAACTATCTGTATTATTGTAATACTAAAGATAAAATGGACTGCTGGATCCCTGTCGATATACTTTTTACAACTGTAAAATAAAACGGAAAGGTATGATAAGAATACAGGACATGGTCTTTAAAGAATTAGGTTACAAGTATACAAAATAAAATAAATACTCATTACCTCTAATTTTGGATTCCTCAAATCTGCTTTCCATCCAAAGTGTTTCATAACAGCAATTCCAATTACTCTTCCTACCTCCTGGAAAAGTAGCAAGTTAAAGAAAAGAATACTAAAAATGAAAATTTTAAGTTTAAATGTAAGCAAAACTAGCAGAGAAGCCTATAAGAAAATCAAGTCAGGCTATCTGACAGTAATTTAGAGTTCTGATATTAAAATCGTACATGAAAGCATTTTCTATTCCAGGCAGTAAGGCTGTATTTTATCTGCCCTAGCCCCCAGTACACTCCATGGCATTAACGTCTACTCATGCATAATCTCTATTCTTGTAATTTTAGGCATATGAAATAACTAGATTATGACCTGATAAATATGATCATTCTGGGTTTCAGGAAACAGATGCAAGCTGAAAGATAACTATTTCAGCTACTATAAGCCTATGTGTTTAAAAATTACCAGATTAGTATCATTAGACTCACCCTTTAGGGTCTGACTGATTTTAAGGTTGATAAAGTATTCAGACCAATGGCCTTTAACATCACTGAACTTTGTAAGGGCCAACTGATGAGGTTTGGTGATGGCCAATTTGTGGTGTTCACTCTTCTCTATATTGCTGAGACTTCACATGCATTTGCAGTCTAGGTCCTGGTGACAATCCCATGTACAGGACCTGTGCAGAGTAGTCACTGAATAAGCACAAAGCTGAACTGAAGAGAAACCCCAAAAGCTGAGGACTATGGTATCAGGATTTCCAAATACAAAGGACATCTGTAGATTTAAGGAAATTTTTAGGCACAAAGTATAAGAAAGGAATTACTTGGAATGGCATACCATTCCTCTTAAACATCTGAGGGAAAATTAAAAGGAAAATGTAGTTTTAAAGATATTTAATTCCATAAGAACTAATTGTCTGGGCCTAGTTATTCGTTCTGTGAGAGGTTTGCATCTCATTTTCAATCTAAAGAGTAAGTAATTCTTGAAAAAAAATGGGATCCACAGGCCAGGTGTGGTGGCTCCTGCCTGTAATCCCAGCACTTTGGGAGGCTGAGGTGGGTGGATTACTTGAGGTCAGGAGTTCAAGACCAGCCTGACCAATGTGAAACCGTCTCTACTAAAAATACAAAAATTAGCTGGGTGTGGTGGCGCACACCTGTGATCCCAGCTACTCAGGAGGCTGAGGCAAGGGATCACTTGAACCTGGGAGGCAGAGGTTGCAGTGAGCCAGATCGTGCCACTGTATTCCAGCCTGGGCGACAGACTCCACTTTGGGATGCAAGCATACCTGTGCAGTTAAGGCCTTTCCAATAGTTCCACTGCAGCGACAAGATACTCTGAAAGTCAAGTCCTTCTGATTATGAGTATCAATTGCTTTCTCTATGTCATTCCGAAATTCTTCTTCTTGAAAGTTTTCACTTTTAGTGGTAAAATCTCTTTGCTCCAGAGTTTCTTCTTCTATTTGTTTTTCCAGCTGGCAGTCCCTATTCTCTTCTATCTTTTGCATTTGTTCTATTTTTAATTTCTTTGCAATGATGATTTCATTTTCTCCCACTTTTCTTTTTAGTTGGTTATCATCTCTCTGAGAAAGTTTTTCCTTTTTTGCATCAAGTTCAAGAAGATTTTTCCAGATTGAAATGGCATTCAACCAATTTCCTGGATCTTCATTTATAAGTCTTTGCATTTCGTTAAGTAGTTTTCCTAAATAAGAAAAATCTTGTTGATCCTATATTGAAGCTTTAAAGGCTATCTATTACAATCATCACCCCCAAATTCCATTACCTTTATTTCTTTGAATTTTTATTAAATTGCTACATGAATAACTTCACTTCCATTTGGAGTTTATATTCCATTTACCTAAGAATATTGTGCAGAATAAAGTTCATTCTTATATTGCATATATAGCATCCACACTGTGTTAAAATTTCTATAGAATTACCATATAATAACCTAGAAAGATTATTTGTGCTATGGTAATATATGTATCTCTTCAACATATACATAGACCTAGAGTGTATATCAACCCTTAAATAATGGTGATCTTGCCTATAAAAATTAAGTTTTTATAAGAAAAGAATAAATTGAAAAACTCAGCTCAGAAACAGAGGAGCTGAATCTTGGGCCTGTTACATTTTAGCCCACACCATATTAATAAGTATATTATAGTGCGTTTCCATAAAGTAACTCACAATCCATTCATAGCTTAGCATACTGCCAGTATGCTCAGCAAAGTTTAATCTTCTCTTGATGAACCAGGGTCATCAAGATGATCCAAAAATTACTGTAGTTCCTTAAAGATGAATGTGTGTAGAGTACTGGGAGGAATTATATTTACCCCACAGTATAATACTTTGGGATTTGCTTTAAAACAATTTTTTCTGCTTGGTCTTGATTTCTTGCCATTTGCATCTTTCTTAAAATAGTTTATTATAGGCTATAAATACATGATCTCTTATGTAATTCAAATTGAAGTTTAAGGCAGCGTTTAAACCTGCAGTGTCTGACCATGTTTTGTTGTTTTTATCAAGATCCATATGTTGTTTTAGTAGCATATTTATAAAATTTAGAGAGTGGACAAGAAATCTCTTATGCCCCCTTTACCTCTAATGCTTGATAAGCGGGCATAAGTTTATCAAAAACATTTAAGGTCCCAGAAATAAAAATTTTTTCTATGCAGTATTTTTCCAATTATATCACACAGTTAAAATGTACAATATGACAATTTTCACTGATTTACTATTAAAATAACACATTTTGGATTACTGCATGTTTCTAAATCCAAATAAATGCAACTGACCGTATATATCTCTAGAGAAGGTACCTGATCATAATTCTCAAAGAAGAAATGTGGCTTAGGACATTAAAATCTCATAAAAAAGGCAGCACGCAGGTTGCAAAGAGAAGAAATATTCTACTATAATCAGGTGATACTATTCAGGAAATACACAATTAATGATCCCACACATGTCAATGAATATTAAAGTGTAAAATGGCTACATATTAATTATCAAGCAGAAAATGTTGGAGTACAATGTGTCATGTGGGTAAAAGCAACACACATATGGATATGCCATACCTTTACTTACAGAAGAAATAAGGGGAAACTGCTTTTTAATCAGCAAAAATAATCTTTCGGCAGATTTTAATTTCTTCAACATATTCAAATCAGAACAGGTGGTGAAAAAAACCTTTCCTGAAATATATTCAACCTAGAAATAAAAAAACAGCTTTCAATGTAGTCCAGTGTCAGTGTAAAAATGGTATTTTTTCCCTCTTAAGGTACAGCATTTAAATTAAAAATAAAAATAACCATTTCTGAAGTATCTACTATTTGTCAGGCTCTGTACTAGGAACTCTGAATAAGTACTTTCCTCCTCACCCTTATAACAACCCTCTAAGGTAGATCCTATCACCACCAAAAGTAGACAAAGGTATAATGTACTAGACAATTAGGTGTCTAGCCCAAGGTGGATATTTATTGAAGACTTACCTGTAGGCTACCAGGAAGCATAAAACATATATTCTGAATAATAGACACACACTGACATACACATTAAAACATAAGATTTATAAGACAATAACTTGAATTAAACCCAGAAGAAAACGAAAAGTTTTAACATTATAATGCATTGACAAGCTGTAAGTACACTAAGTAGAAATGAATATGAAAGCAGACATTATAAAGAGTCTTCGGAAAGAATCCTGTAAGGTTTGGGAAGAAGGATTCTAATAAAAGAACAAGGGGCAGATGCAGAAGTGGGAATGAAAACCTGGCTGAAGTAAACTGTAAGCAACATTTGCTGTATTATGCTGATTGATAGTGTCAGGTGGATGGATGATGTAGTTTAGGCCAGCCTGACAAATGGTCATGAAATTTTGAGTACCACGAATGGTAATGGTCAACCATTATAGACTTTTGATGAAAACTGTGACAGCACTGAATTAGCTGACAGAAAAAATTACTTTACAAGAGGCATAAAGGACTGAGTGTAGAATGTGATGCTAGAGGGAGCAGGAGGTTACTGAGGTAGAAATGATGAGATACTTGGCTGCAGAAACTGGATAACGAGTAGAAGCAAGACATATGCATCAAACAGAAACAGGTTTTGGAGAAAGGATGGATACGTGGCAAGAGAAGGAAAATGAAAAGAGCACTGACTCACAGGAAGCCTAATATGCTGTGACAAAGGGTGCTCAATACCAATGGAATCTTAACTCTTTTAGGGTCATCCCAACCCTTTTAAGTCCAGGATGGATGTGGGCTCTCTTGGAGCTCTCTTTTTAGCAGTGGCCAACAATTGAATAGGATGGTTCTAAATAATCTCCTAGAACTCGGACACCAGGGACTGTGGGGTTTCTTGTGTTAAGGCAGCTACCATCCATGGGTACTTGAACTCCAAGGGTTTTTGCTTGTTTTGGATCTGACAAGATCTAATTAAACTCTTGGAATGGTAATTTCTGGGGTTGCTACTCCAGGCTGATGAAAGAGAATCTCTCCTGAAGAAGCCCTAGATTGGCACCAATTAAAACTCAAATAGCTTACAGCAATGCAGCTGACCAAAATAGATGGAGGAACAGACAATGACACTATGGGAGGAAGCAGGGAATGAAAAGCACATTTAGGAATCAATATATAAGGGGATACTGAAGTAACCAAAACCAGAACTTCTGGTTTCTAGAATTTACTTCTTTCTTATTACATAGGTGACATTTCCCCAAAACTAAAGTATATACTTCAAAATGCTAAGAAACTTGAAAACAAAGTTTTAAAAAGTAAATTATCAAAAATTCGTAAGTTAGCTGACATAAGAATACAGTTGATACTAAAGCCATCGCAGAACAATTTAACTGACGAAATACTTTGCCAAGATTCTGGGGGAACAGGACTAAATATTTTACTGAAAATGTTTGGTTTTAAGTTTCAAATTCTGTAAACAAGTAAAATGATGCGCAAAGATCTAGACCAGTGACTTTAACCTAGACAGTCAGTGATCTAGATATTATAGTTACTTAATTGTACGAAGATCTTCTTTTCTTATTCAAATATCAAGGGAAGCATTTTATCTGATCAGCTTTCTCTAACATATATACATAAAATATATTTATATTTTAAAAATGTATATTTACATTTAAATATATATATATTTCCCCCTGGGGCCAGTGGTTTCCAAAAAGAATATGACTATCAAGTTAATTAAGAGGACCCAAAAAGTTTATTTAGAACATCAGATCATAAGAATAGTATGTTAGTGCAGTAAAATGCCAAATACATTCTCGAAACCCAAAACTGCAACATTATTCTAAGAATTATACATTCTCAAAACCAAAAGCAGCAACATTATTCTATGAATTATCATAAGGCCTACATTTCTTTTAGAAGTAATAAGCATGTTATCAGAAGTAGAGCAGGTCCTTGAATAACACTGTTTTGTTCAACATTGTTTCATCATGATATTGATAAGAAAAAATACCAATTCCCAGCCAGGGCTACTGTCCAGGTGAACCATGTCTGCATGGGTTTTCCCTGAGTACCCCAGTTTCCTCTGACATCTCAGAGTGTGCCTGTTATGTCACTGGTATGTTTACATGGTCCCAGTGCAAGTAAATGTGGGTGCGTGGGAGTGCGCCGGGGAATGGGATGGCATCCTATGCAGGGCTGGTTCCCACCTTGTCCCCTGAGCTGCCAGGATAGGCCCTGGCCAGTGACAACCATGGAATAACTGAACTGGAATAGATGGATAAATAATTATCCTACTTGTTTTTATCAATCTTTCTTAAATGTATGTATAGCTTACATTTATTTCAATGTTTAACATTAGAAGAGTTATTTCAGCATTTACTATTAGAAGTATTCTAAATAACCTCTTTATTTAGAAGTCTGTGAAATTTTTGCGACTAGAAATATACTGTAGGAACTCTTGTTTATTTCAATTAGCCTATGGTAAAAATGATTTAATTATACATCCTTTTGCTTGAAGTCAAAGTTTCCAGGAACCTACTGATGACATTAAATGAAGACTTACTGTAGTTTAATAAATTGTAAAATAGTAGTAACTGTGAGAATCAAATAATCCTATCTGTGAATGCACTGAAACAGTTCACTCTTTGTGAAGACAGGTATTATATCTTAAAACAGTAGGGAGAATTAATTTTAGTGCTTATGATTTCAAGAACTGCTGAAGCTACTAATTCTCTTTTTCTTTAGTTTATTTCTTGTAACTATTCATATTTAATTACAACACTCAGGGAGAAATAAGGCATTCGGAATATTTTGTTCTCAAGTTTCTCACCTGAAAATTTATTTATATATAAAATCTAGTTTTTTCTATCTAGAATTAAATCATAACCAAGTGTCTAAAAACACCTGGTTTTATGTATAACACTTCCGAAGATGAAATAACAGCCTTTATTAAGTAATAACAGCTCTATTTTCTACTAGATTATCTAAACATTATTTTTCCTTTCTTTTAAAATTCGCGGATTAAAATTTAACACCAAGATTAAAAGTTTAAATCTAGGGTGAAAGTGGTAGCTCATGCCTATAATTCCAGTGCTTTGGGAGGCCCAAGTGGGAGGACTGCTTGAGCCCAGGAGTTTGAGACCAGCCTGGACAACACAGTGAGACCCTGTCTGTACAAAAAGTAAATGAGTTGGGCATGGTAGCATGTGCTTGCAGTTCAAGAGGCTACTTGGAAGGGTAAGGTGGGAGGATTGCTTGAGCTGGGGAAATAAGGCTGCAGTGATCTGTGATCACGCCACTGTTCTTTAGCCTGAGTGATAGAGCCTGATCCTGTGACAAGTTTTTTAAAAAAGTCTAAATCTACGCAAAAACATATCATGATATAGGGAGGTACCAAAGGTCTCCTAATTCTACAGAGGCCAGTTTCAGAACTAATTTGAAAGTGCTAAGTGATGGGTTAATGTGGTATTTGAGTTTGTTTTGGTTTATTTTAGAAGAAGGAATTCAAAAATATGTTTCACTTAATTTGTAAAAAGGATATTCAGCTGGGCATGGTAGCTAATGCCTGTAATCCCAGCACTTTGGGAGGCCAAGGTGGGCGGATCACTTGAAGTCTGGAGTTCAAGACCAGCCTGGCCAATATGTTTAGTAGAAACCCTGTCTCTATTAAAGATACAAAAATTAGCTAGGCACCTGTAATCCCAGCTACTTGGGAGGCTGAGGCAGGAGAATTGCTTGAATCTGGGAGGTGGAGGTTGCAGTGAGCCAAGACCACGCCACTGCACTCCAGCCTGGGTGACAGAGTAAGACTCTGTTAAAAAAAAAAAAAAAAAAAGAGGCATTCAATTTAAAGTGAATGCAGAGAATCTTTAAGGCAACCTTATGCAATTATTCCATTAAATGAAAATAACTATGAAATAATCTGACTTTCTGCTTAACTCGACCCCACTACCCTCGACTATGATGACACCATTAAAAAAACAAAAATTTACGTGGCCTATTCAGGACCTGTGTTAATAGTGTTTGATATGTGAGTTTACAAAGACCAATGAATCAACTGACAAGACTTTTCTGGTGAACTGACATTAGAGACATCTCTACAACATTCAGTTTTATCTTAAAATAACTGTTCCTACTATTAGTCTTACAATAAATAGCAGTACTTAATACATTAAACATCATTATAAAGTAAAGCTTAATTTTTCTCAATATATTAATTTCTTCAAAGTAGTCTAAGTGATATGTGTTTGTAGATACATAAATTAAATATTTAACATCATCCAGGGACTTATGAAGAAATTTGCTTTACAACCAGAAGGCAGAAAAAACATCAAACTTGAATCTGACCAAGTTCTAGATACAACTTACAGGATTTCAACTTGTAGGAAATACAGAGGATAGAGGAACATGTTAAACTACACCATGCAGACTCAGCATACTATTTTTTTTCTTTTTTTTTTTTTTTTGAGATGGAGTCTTGCTCTGTTGCCCAGGCTGGACTGCAGTGGCGTGATCTTGGCTCACTGCAACCTCCGCCTCCAGGGTTCAAGCAATTCTCCTGCCTCAACCTCTTGAATAGCCGGGACTACAGGTGTGCACCACCACACCTGGCTAACTTTTTGTATTTTTAGTAGAGACGGGGTTTCACCATGTTGACCAGGCTGGTCTTGAACTCCTGACCTCAGGTAATCCGCCCACCTTGGCCTCCCAAAGCACTGGGATTACAGGCGTGAGTCACCGCACCA